CGGGACGCAAGTGTTACTAGAGACTCAAAATATAAACTTTTTTGATATGTTAATATGAAAATGCACTTTTTGGCATATTTTTCTCAAACACAGTGCTCTGAAAGATCTCATTTGTATAATTATATACTCATTGGTATTTATAAAACATTTTCTAGGTTATATTATTTTTTATTTATCTTATTTAAATTCAGAACCTAAATTTGGTATCGATCAAATGGACATTTTGTCGAATAACATTTTTCCAGTTATAATTTCCCAGAATTTATCGCAGAATAGATAGTAATATATGAAGGTCCGGGGTTAAAAAGGTCCACCACCGATGTGCCAAAAATCAGTAAAGTTAAGCATTGTTTAACAACAATATTTGAAAGTAGAGGAAAAAAGATGTACGAGTATAGTCAGCTACAAACTTGATTTGAAAACGATAATCTTTGAAATGGGGGAGATAAACGGTAATCTTTGAAAATCCACAATAAAAGTATTTTCTTCCGTTGGTAGTTTTAGCATTAGTTAAAAATGTAATTATTTTGTAAAATACCTTTAAAATTATTATAAGGCTTTAAACTTTTTGCCACCTGCCCGTTACAAGTTACTCCGCATATAGGATAAAAAGGTCTAGATAACAAATTTTTGGAAGACATCAAAAAAGCACATTTCTACAATGATGAAGTAGAAGTCAGTATACTGAACGTAGTCAGATAATTGTTCGTTTGATATGTCTTATTTGTTGTGATATAATTGTTATGGTTTTCACAATATATTAGGGGGACCGGAAAGTAATGTCGTTTTCTTACGCTAAATTCAAACACATACATTTTTAACGAGTCTTTATTTTTAATCAATGATGTATTCCCCATCATTGTCAATAACCTTTTGCCATCCAGTGAGTAAATTTTCAATCCCTGATCGATAAAAATTAATTGGTTTTTCGGCAAAATATCTAGAGATGGCATTTTGGATATCGTCCAAATTTGCAAATGTTTTGCCACTTAAAAAGTGTTGCAGCGCTCGGAGTAAGTGGAAATCCGATGGTGCAACGTCGGGCGAATATGGTGGACATAGCTGGGCATTAACTCGTTAATCCGTTAATCGTTAATTAACGAAGTTAACATTTTGATTAACGGATTAACTTTTAAGTTAACTTTTGAAAATGTTAACGGACACGTTAACTTCCGTTAAAATGCGAGAAGTCCGTTAATCGTTAATCCAATGCCTACTATTTACCGCACGGCACAGCTTTAGCCAATGCCTTATTAAACGGCATAGAGAAAAGATTTGGACCACTCCTGAATGATGAACAGTGCCAACTTGCCGCGGCATTTCACCCAAAGTTTCGGTTAATGTGGCTGGAAACAGTAGAGAGGAATGCAGAAACTATAAACTATTGGACAAAAAATTAATTTTTTTTGAAAAAAAAATGTTTTCTTTATTTTGACATATTTTGGAAGATCTGAACTTTTTTTCAAAGCAATCGTACTGCTTTAACTGCACAAAGACGAAATATCAAACCGCGTAAGCGCCGCGTCGACGTCTAACGCGTAAACATTGGTACGGAACCCATAGGAATGTAAATAAAATTTATACTTATTGTTAAAATCTCTATAAAATATCTGATAATTTGATGTGCATATGTCTAATGATCATTTTGACCGCCAAATGGCATTTTTTTTTACTTTTTTTATTAGATCTCCGAAACCGCTAGACCTGCCTTCATGAAAAATTGATCAGTTCTTCATAATTGTCAATACAAGTAAAATGTTTTTTGAATTATTAAAATCGGACGCTCCGTTCTCTTAAAAACCTAGTTACCATTTTTGGCTCAATTTTGCCCCATATCTTCGGAACGGCTAGACCTGCCTTTGCCAAAAACTAATCAGCACGTCTTCTTATCAATACGAATCGAATGTTTTTTGAATTATTCAAATCGGTTGATCCGTGTTCCCGAAATCGTCGACGAAAGTTTGTATCCGAATACACATACATACACACACACATACATCCATTTTTTCTAAGGCATGCCAAAATATTCAGAAACCTTTGAAACGTCGAGAAATGCAAAAATTTTCATTTTCGATTTTTTTGCGATTACTATAACTTGCCCTACGGGAAGTTAAAAAAACTCTTTCCCTTTATTTAGAAAAAAATTCTTGTAAAAACAATATGCAATCATAAAAACGGAAAGTTGACCAATAGCGTTATCACGGTATGTGATAATTGTGCCATTTTCCTTATACACACGGAAGTGTGCATAAAACGCGCGAGGGGTTAAATTACACATTTGAATTATACAAGTATTTTGTTTTATTCATAACCTGTTAACTTCCAGAACCTAAACTAATAAGTTTTTTAAGTTCACTAACGCAACGATATAAAAATGTAATTTTACACATATTAACGGATTAACGATTAACGTTAACTTGCGTTAATTCTTCCGAAATGTAACGCTTTAACGTTTAACGAAGTTAACTTTTTTTGTAGCGGATTAACGATTAACGAAGTTAACTATTTGATTAACGGTGCCCAGCTATGATGGTGGATGAGGCAGCACCTCCCACCCCAATTCATTAATTTTTTCTAGAGTTCGCTTTGCGCAGTGCGGTCTTGCATTGTCATGTTGGAGAATGACGCCTTTTCGGTTGACAATTGCTGCCCACTTTTCAATTAAAGATTGATTTACTCGCTGCAATTGTTCTCTGTAGAGGTCTGCAGTAACAGTTTGTCCAGGTTTCAGTAATTCAAAATGAACAATGCCGCGAATACTCCACCAAACACACAAAAGCGCTTTTTTGGGGTGTAAACCTGGCTTAGCAGTACTTCGAGGGTTTTCTTTTGGGGAGAGCCACTGCCTTTTGCGTTTTGGGTTATCATACAGGACCCATTTCTCATCTCCTGTGATCAAGCGATCAAAAAACGCTTCTGTGTTGTGTCGTTGAAGCAATAAGTTGCATGTGATTGATCGGTTAGCCTTATTCTGTTTGGACAGATTATGCGGGACCCAAACACCTGCTCTGCTTACTTTCCCAATCTGCTTCAAATGTTCTTGGATGGTCGACCAAGGTTGGTTGAGACTGTTTGACAATTCCTCGATCGTCTGACACGGATTTGCTTCCACTTCCGCCCTTAACACGTCGTTGTCTAACGCTGATGGTCTTCCTGATCGATACGAGTCGGAAAGATCAAAATTACCCGATTTGAACTTGGAAAACCACCTTTGGCATTTATGAATGTCCAGTGCATTTGGATAAACATCGCATATGTTTTTGGTAGCAACTGTTGCGTTATTACCCTTGCGAAACTCAAAGAGCATGCAACGCCGGATGTGTACCTCTTTTGGTATTTGGCTGCCATTTTACCCAAAATTACAAAAAAAAATTGTAATTCAAATGTCTATAAGTAAAGAAATCACTATGTCTCACAATGTCTTTGGTACGCCTCTGAACCAAACAATGAGCTGACAAATGACAATCAAGTATTGGCATGCGCAGAAACGACATTACTTTCCGGTCCCCCTAATAGTTTATATTTGCTCAAAGTCAAATTGGACCTTTTTGTCTCGCCCTGCTCTACTATATATACATACTTTTTATTAAATTTACTTTAATTCATCGAAACTTGAAACTTTTCAAAAAGCAGGTCAAAGAAGAAATACTTAATTCATATTTCATCTCTCCTCGCAAAAATTTGAAAATTTTGTATAAGTTTAGTAGTATTATTTACAATTATACACAAAATCCAGAATCCAAAAAGAATCTGAAAAACTTGAAACGTAATTAATAAGCCGAAAGACCAAAAAAACCTTGGATTGGATTATACGATGTTTTCTATAGAAAGTGTATAAAACTTGCAGTTTGATTGTATTGACAAAATATAGACAAACTAATGGGATTTATTGTTTTTATAATACCTAATTGTATACCGCATTCAAACAACACATCCTTATGCACTTAAAGTATTAATATTTTTGATTCTCTAGAAATGGTTTAGAATATACCTTATTTAGCAAAACAACGTTTGCCGGGTCAGCTAGTCACTTATAAATATCATAAGTTCAAATTAAACACACTATTCTTCATATAAACATTTATTTTCCCGCAACTCTGAGATGTTATCTACACGAAATTTACACAACTGCCTACTTAAAGTTACATTTCGGCTTCATATAACATTTTATTTAGTTTAAGGGAATTCCCTTGATTTTGAATATGATCAATAGAATTTCTTTATATGTGTGAGTGCAAGTCAAGTTATTACTCGTTCGGATTTTTCGGGAATTACTGCAATGTGTGCAATTTATCGATAAAAGATTATTACAATGTTGACTCTTCTTATGTTGAATGCAATACAATTGAGAATATGATTCATTATGTGGTGTGTTTCTACTATATAAGTTATTAATATTAACTAATTAGGCGTTGGGCCATAACAATACACTTCGCAAATTCTCAATATGTTGTCAGCGACACGCAATTTAAACAACTGCCGTTCTTACTTATGTAAAATGATTTATATATAATAAATAAAGAATTCTATATCATCGATTGTATATTATGTTTAAAGATCATTGATAGCGAATTCGATATAGGAACGAGGCACGTGAACACAGAATAACTATTGTAAATGAACCCTTTTATTAGCTGGCTGCCACACATAATATATAAACAATCGCTTTATCTTGCCGACACCGCTTTATCTTGCCTCAGCTGAGTCGGCAATACACAATACCTAGTTTGGAAACTGAAACTTGATATGTGTTTTGCGTAAGTTGAATTTTTGATAGAATACTGGTAACACCGTAATACCGGTATTATTTGCATCAATACCGGTATTGAACACCGGACAAAAATCGTCCGGAATCCCGGTATTCGGGATTACGGAATCCCGATATTGTAAGCCCTACTTGTTGTACAGCAAATGAAGAAATCTATTTTTTTAAAAAAATGTTTTCTTTCATTTTTATTCAAATCAAAAATATTTCATCTAATATTTTCATATCATTTCAGTACATGTTAATGAGAACACAAGATCCAGATGAGGGAGTGGCATTAGAGGCTTGTGAATTTTGGTTATCCCTAGCTGAGCAACCAATTTGTAAAGAAGCACTAGCTCCCCATCTTCAGAGACTTGTTCCAATCCTAGTCAGAGGAATGAAATATAGCGAAATTGATATTATATTTTTAAAAGTACATGCCTCAAAAATCTTATATTTATTTTTAATTTTCATAAGAAAAAATATTCATGAAGTCAATATTACAGGGAGATGTAGAAGAAAATGAGATGGTGCCGGATAGAGAAGAAGATATTCGACCTCGTTTTCACAAATCAAAATCTGTGAAGCACACCGTTAGTACTGGTGGTGATGCCGAAAACAACTTAAATCATTCAACATCCGAAGATTTTGATGATGATGATGATGACGATGACTGTATTGATGACGATAGTTCTTTATCAGATTGGAATTTGAGAAAGTGTTCGGCAGCTGGCTTGGATGTTCTTGCTAATGTTTTCAAGGATGACCTTCTGCCTGTATTAGTGCCCATTCTAAAAGAAACACTATTTCATAATGAATGGGAAATAAAAGAAAGTGGTATACTTGCTTTGGGTGCTATTGCAGAAGGTTATTATTATTTTTTAGTTATTATGTTCCTACAAATATTATTTAAATTCTGACTATTTCTATTTTTAGGATGCATGAATGGAATGATACAACACTTGCCTGAATTAATACCATACCTTATCAGATCACTAGGAGATAATAAAGCACTTGTGAGGGCCATCACATGTTGGACTTTATCTAGGTATTCACATTGGGTAGTAAGCCAACCACATGATTCATACTTGAAGCCTTTGATGACTGAAGTAAGTATTTAATTATGAGTTATCAATTATAGTTTTTTTTTAATACTTAACTTCTCATACTGTAAGTTATGGTAATCGCACAAAAATCTAAAATGAAAATTTGTTCAGTTAGAAAAGATGGATGTGTGTGTGTGTGTGTGTGTGTGTGTGTTTTGTTTGGATACAATTTTTTGTGCACGATCTTGGGCGCACTGATCAACCGATTTAAAATATTTAAAAAAAAAAAATTCAATTTCATCTAATGGGGAGACGTGCTGATTAGTTTTTCGAAGACAGTTTCAGCCATTTTGGAGATACGGAGCAAAAAGTGCAGAAAGTATAAATTAGTTTTTTATGGGAACAGACCATCCGATTTGAACGACCATTCAGTTCGTACAGATTGGGAGAGGGTACTGGTTAGTTTTTAAGAAAGGTAGGCCTAGCAGTTTTTGTTGGCGTATGGTTTGACAAAAAATGATCATGCAGAGAAACGAATTATCCAATTAGAATCATTCAAAAAAAATTTTACTTTTGTTAGTGGTGTGAAAAAATGATTAAATTTTAGGCAGGTCTAACGGTTCCAAAGTTATCAATAAAAAAAAAACATTTCTAAAAAATTTCTTTAACCTTTTTTTCATTCTCTTAATTTTTCAAAAATTTCAAAAATTGAAAATTTTCGAAAAATCGAAATTTTCACTCATTTCTTTTTATCATTTTCATTTTGATTATATTGTCATATTTCTGTACATTACTTTTTCCACAATTTTATTCATTTTATATAAAAAATCGACTATCTTCTGCTTTTCTCAAGCATATTGTTTGCTTAAATCGTATGAAGATCAGGTTTTTGAAAGATCTCCTGAAGATGGAGCGTACCTAGTTCCGAAACGTCGACAGTAAATAAAAAAATGTTTTTTTAAAACTTTTTTGTTTTTTATTACTTTTTGGTTCTTTGTTCGAAGCAGAGAATTCATATATATGATGATAGTTTTGTCGACGTTGATACATATTTGAAATATTTTTTTGCAGCCCAATCATTGAATTAAAAAAAGATTAAATAAAAAAATTATTTATTCCATTAAACGTTTTGACACTTGATGTGTGTCATCATTCAGTAATCAAACCAGGAAAAACACAGAAAAAATTAATAATGTAAAATTTAATGAACACTAAAATTGTATAAAGAATATTATACTAATATATTAATAAACGAAGAATTAAAGGAGCACATAATGCCCTCCTATATTGCATGTATTCAATCGTAGTGCACTATGAGAACTCTATTTCTCTTTTCATAATGTACTACAATTGAATACATACAATATAGGAGGGCATTATGTGCTCTTTAAGTTCGTGTGTGTGTGTACATGTGAACAGATTTTTTGCCGTAAGTCGACGTTTTCTCAAAAACGGCTGGACCGATTTCAAAAATTTAAGCCATTCGATGTATCTCGATGAGGAGTGCGACGATTGGCCAAGCCGTTTTTTTTATAAATAGCAGAAAAGTGAAATATTTTTCGTCCACGTTTTAGCCCGCAATTCTGAATCGATTTTGAAAATTCAAAAACCACTCGCAAGATATTGGTTGGGAATCGTGCTGATTAGTTTGTGGTAAAGATCGGCCGGGCCGTTTTCTTGTAATAAAGTGTTAAAAAAAAATCTACGATATTTATTATTTTTTTGACGGTAGATACTATAGTCTTCTAGATCATACTAAAATATTACGGTCCTACGACAATTGGTTTAACTTTAAAAATTCGTCAAAGTTTGCAAAAATTAGTATCGTTTTTTGGCATTTGTCAAAATTAGACCTTTCATCGACGTTTGCTTAAAAACGCCTGTACCCATTTCAGAAATTTAAAAGCCATTTGATGTATCTCGATGAGGATTATCGTTTCTCTGTTTTGTGCGGCGATCGGACGAGCCGTTTCTTTGCAATTTGGAAAAAAGTGTTAAACTTTTCGTCCACATTTAGGCTCATACTACCGAATCGATTTAAAGAAATCAAAAACAACTCGAAAGATATCAGTTGGGAATGATACTGATTAGGTTTAGGTGAAAATCTATCTAGCCGTTTTCTTGTAATTGACTGTTGAAAAAAAAATTTAAGACGGTTTTTATGGAACATTTTTTGGCGATATATATGTTACGCTCATTTGGCGAATGTGAGTTCAACTCGCGCATGTGCGGGTGAAATACTAATTTATATATTTATATTTATATTTATATTTACATAATTTATTTTAGTCATGAGCATATTATTATCCATTATTTATTATTCACTATTAACTATTAACTATTTAGCAATTAACAATTTATCTATTAACTATGAACTATTAACTATTTAATTAATAACTATTAACTATTTAACCATTAACGATTACCTATTTAACTATTCTTAATTCACTATTTACTAATAACTATTCACTATTTGCTATTATCTATTCACTATTTACTATTAACTATTCAGTTATCACTATTCACTATTTACTATTAACTATTCAGTTATCACTATTCACTATTTACTATTAACTATTCAGTTATTACTATTTACTATTTACTATTAACTATTCGGTTATCACTATTCACTATTTACTATTAACTATTCAGTTATCACTACTCACTATTTACTATTAACTATTCAGTTATCACTATTTACTATTAACTATTCAGTTATCACTATTCACTATTTGACTATTTAGTTATCACTATTTACTATTAACTATTCACTATTTACTATTAACTATTCACTATTTATAATTCAACTATTTAACTATAAACTGTTAAACTATTTAGTTATCACTATTCACTATTCAATAATAACTATTTACTATTTACTATTCACCATTTACTATTTAACTATTTACTTTTAACTATTTACATTTAACTACTAACGATTTACCTAAAACTAGAACTATTTACCTATAACTATTAAACTATTAACTATTCACTAATTAACTATTTTAAATTCTATTTACTATTTTACTAACAATTAACTATTAACTATTTACTATTTAATATTAATTATTTACTATACACTATATTAAAACTTTACTATTCAATTATTTACTATTAACTATTTAGTGCGCATGCGCCAAATACACAAGATGTTCATGAGACCGATCCAAGTACGCACGTACACCATTATTTTAAATTGATTGTTGAGAACTTCACATTCACCTAGCGTTTGGGGAATGTGCACATTCACCGGTGAATGTGCACATTCACCAAGAGTGCACATTTACCGTAACATATATATATATCATAGAATTTACTGAAATATTACAAGTAGTTTAATTTTAAAAATTCATCAAAGTTTGAGAAAATGAGTAGTTTTTTTTTTTGACATTTGTTAAAATTAAAATTAGACGATTTACTTGGTAAAACGATAGAGTACTTTGTCTTAATGAACATACTAAACCATTAAGGTTCTACGGAAACTGGTTCAATCATAAAAAATGTTGATTTTCGAAAATTTGCTTTTAGAAGATACTCCGAGTTAACGTGTTCGCTCGTTTTCAATATGTGTTATTAATCCACTCGGAATACTTTTAATCCCTCATAAATTAATTTATTTTTAATTGATTAAGTCGATTATTTACACATATCGGGAAGTTCATGTAACTTGCCTCAAGGCAAAATACCAATATCAATATCAACTAGTTTGTTTTAATTTCGACGATTGGCTGAAAATCAATATTCAAGCTTGACAAATATGTATATATATTGACAAATTCTAGTAATTGGCATAACAACAATAAAAAACATGAATTTCTTTCAAAAATTTATTTTAATCCATACGTTTCGGCTATATAATCCTAGCCTTCATTTAGTGGAAACTAAAAAAATAAAATTAAAAACTAAAACAATTGAATCGGAGTGAAAATAAAATAAAAAAGAGTAAAAAGTACTTACAATTAGTTAATCTTAGTGTTAAATTGGAAAATTTTAATAATCCATGGTATCAGGATATGGTAATGCACTACACTATGTATTATAAACATTAAACTTGTAATTACACAATATTTTCACAAATACTAATTAAAAACCACAAATGGATAGTGTGTGTGACTGATTGAAGATATAATGGAGAAAGGATTTTTTTAAAAATATTTTTACCAAGATTCTACACATGTGTGGAACGAATTGCGAATCCTTTGCGCGACGCTTTTATTGTTTTGTGAGAAATTTGGAAATACTATCTAAATGAAAAAGATTTGTGTCGCACAGCGCTTACATATGGTATCCTCATATGGGCCGATGTTCTGAAGACTCAAAAAATGGAGAGAATGGCTGGACTTATATACCGTCTAAGTGCGTTAAGAATTGTTCGCTCATTTCGCACCACATGAGGAAGCAATTTGCCCATTACTATAACTACCCTATGGAAAGTTAATATAGTGCTAGAAGAGAACTTTATTATAAAAACCATTCGGCAATTGTTTTTATGATAAATTAAATCAATTTATATGAAATAATGTAATTTTGTAATTTTAGTTGCTTAAGCGAGTTCTGGATCCAAATAAACGTGTTCAAGAAGCAGCATGTTCAGCCTTTGCTACATTAGAGGAGGAAGCTTGCACAGAACTAGTCCCATACTTAGGATTTATTCTTGAAACATTAGTATTTGCATTCACAAAGTATCAACATAAAAATCTCCTTATATTATATGATGCTATTGGTACACTAGCAGATTCTGTAGGACACCATTTAAATCGACCGGATTATATCAACATGCTTATGCCACCTTTAATACAGAAATGGAATGTTTTGAAGGATGAGGATAAAGATTTATTTCCTTTACTTGAAGTAAGTATATATATATTTTCAATTATATTATACTAAGACAAAATCACAGTTAATTAGTCTTGTAAAACATTTGAGAATTGTCTCAAATTATAACATAGCAAATATTTTGACCATAATTTATATTAACACCCTAAGCTTACTTGAGCAAACTAATTCAACCAAGACGGTCAGGCCAAACTGAATGTACGCGTTTCATTTAAAGGATTTTACAAAAATAATTATTTGAAATCTTGTTTTCAGTTTTGCTATAAAACTGAAAAATATAACGTTTTTATACCATTTTGTTTTTTGAAAAAAATACTATACTTTCGAGTTATATTACACTTTTCTGTATGTAAGATGTTTTATTTGTTCAAAATTATTAGTGGATAATTCTTATGCAAGTCAACTTTTCTTCCTTTTTACAAACCTTTTTCAAATTGTGTTTTATGCTAGTTCATTATTTTATTTGAATAAAATGTCTTCTATTTAGTGTTTATCCAGTGTTGCGACAGCATTACAATCTGGTTTTCTGCCGTATTGCGAACCTGTCTATAGGAGGTGCATGTCACTTATTGAGCAAACCTTGCATCAGCACATTGTAAGTATTTTCACAATTTAACTTTAGCAATATTCATAGCTCAACCAATTAACTACTATGAAAATATTATTCATTAAAACTATTCAATTTTTTGTATAAGGGTCTGGGCGTGTTTCCATACAGAATTGGTCCCTATTGTCCCAATAAAAAATATTGAAATCTTAAGTTTTTCATACATTGAAATATATTAGTCAGGAGCTTATACGACAAATGAAAATAATCAATAATAATTATTGTTTTATTCGGCGCGTTGGATTTTTTATTATGACTAATGAATATATTTCTATACAAGATATAAATAAATTTTGGTTTTTAATAAATATTTCTATACTTATATACAGGATTTGTCGAGACGCGCGATAACCACGAGCCTTATGCTTGCTCGTCGCTCTTGCATTTAAAGTGGAACCCAAAGTTCCACTTACTTACATTCAAATGAATTTTGAATAACAGAAGAAAAATGTGCAGGCTTTCGAATGATGCTAAATAAAAGTAGTGTCCAAAGAGCCGCACTGGTAGGAAATGGAAAATGAAAAATTATTTTCACCTTTTCATGCACTAATAAATAATTTTTTCACATTATTTGTTATGAACAACATAGACAAGATCAGTGTAAACAGAATGACGTTAACATTTTTCGAAATCTCTTATATTTCCGACAAAAAGTGAGTTTGAAAAAAGGGGCCACTTTCACATGTTTTCACTCATATCTCTTTTTTTTTTTTCAATCAGAATACATGACTATTCTATGAGCTATTTGGCTTATGTCATTCACTCACACACTACACACACACTTGCAAACACACATAAATGATGAGCTACGGATTTGAAATTTGGTATTTCGAATTTTCTCGAAAATACCTATAAAATGGCATAAAAATTATTTAAATACCAGGGTGGGGCCAATTCTGTATGGAAACACGCCCATACCCTTTATACTCATCGCACAGCAACTAGTTAGACATTTTCAGTTTTTATCACCAAGAAACAAGCATAACACAACGTTGCCATAACAAACGCTATCTTATCAATAAATTCGGCCCAATTGTTTTTCGTCTTTTTCTCTCTCGCTCCAATGTTCTATCTCTTTCACTCAAACTCACTACTAGTGTAGTAAATTGAGCGGAAAAAAGGGTAAAAACTATGAATTTTTTTACTGTGCTGCGATTTGCATGAAATTTTGGATATAGACTAATCTTGCCCTTAAGTTTAAAAGTGACTCCCCCGCAGGGTTATAACCATCGCTATCCGCCAAGGTCCCTTATGTATTTATTTATTTACAAGTTGACATTGAGCCATTTTATCGCTAGAAATCGTGTTTAATATTAAAGGATAAAATTGTAAAGTATTTTTAATTCATTTACTTACAATAAAATTATTTTCAATTCATTGAAAACCCTACAACCCTTGCGAAACAACTCACTAATTTACCTGTCTATCAATTCACCTGTCTACCAATTTACCTATCAACGTGTTTATCAATCTACCATTTTACTTGCCATCCAATTACCTGTTAACCCAATTTACCTTTATCCCGCTCTATATGTCTACAAAATAAACTGTCAATATATTTATCTGTCTATATATTCGTCTAGCTACCAGTTGTCCTGTTAAAAAAGTCGACGGAACGGCCAACTCCTACCACTTGTATCTGATATCTGAAAACCCGTCTCGCGATTTACCTAACAATTTTGCAAGGGTATGGATTAAAATATTATTTTGCAAGGTTCCAAAATATACAATGTTACAAACAGACCCTTGAAATAGGCCAGCTGGGTTAAACACGAAAAAACGAACTAAACACACTACCCCGTGGCGTTTAAACGTACTTTTCAAAGTGATTGTATTTAAAACAGTGATCTTTGAAAATTGACCTTGTGCCATTTTTTTTAGCTCGCATCGGATCATTGAGGACT